GAAGTAGATATAGATTTAACAATAGAGGCAGAAGGAATATGATGCAATGAGAGTGAAAATTGGGATTTGAGTTTTAGTTGAATTACTTTGAGACTGATCAAATTCTTCTCAAAATAAGCTATGCAAGTTGATTTTAATTTGAATCAATATAAAGTGAAATTTGGATTTGCTTAAAGTTTTATCATGATCAACTCATCAAAATAAATTTATATAAGTTTTATGTGTAGATATTAGAATTTATTTTTTTTACCTCTTGAGTTAAGCTTTTATTGCATCCAAAATGAGGTAAGTATTCTTCTCAACAGAAATTAAGATTTTAAATTTGCTTTGAACTAAGTGCAATATAAATTTTAATTATTATCTCATAGAAAGTATGCATCGCAACATAAATTCAATGGCTTTGATATTTGCTTAATTAAAATTTAAACATAATATTTATTCAAATTTTCAAAAAAATAAAAATAAAATAAAACCACATATAATTTATTATATGCTATTTTTGGTTATCATAATATATAGACTATGTGGCAAATTATACCTTTATAATACACCGAAGTGATTGTACTTAGTATCAAGTTATTTTCTTCCATCCAAATGCACATTAATCTTTGAAGTGAGTATCGTGTGAAATGACTACAATGCTTGTGTATAGCACGTGTATTGCACTAGAGAATTTGTCCAAGAGCTCTTCCAAGAGAGTTCTCTCAAAATAACTCTCTTAGAACAACTCTCTTAAGAATTTCTTCTATAATAACTTTAGGAAAATAGTTTGCCCAATAGAGATCATGCCATATATAGACACAAAGATGAATTGCTCAGGGGTCAAAGCTAAGCAATAGGAGAACTTCTAACAATAGGGTTTAACAAAGAGACTCTTAAATTTCTCTCTTTTACTTTTATTTTATTTTAGGGATAATTACATGCAGGCAACCTAAAACATTGATAGTTATACATTAACCATCAATGTATTTGTTTGAATTATGGAATCGATGTGTTTACGGGTTCCACAATCAAACTATTGAAAATTTAATAAGAATAAAAAATGTGGCTTGTTTGCTTAGCGAATGAATCAAGTACGAGATGCTTAACGAGCCAAACACATACTATTCGTGAACAACGAGCCGTTTTGATAGCCCTAGAATGATCGTTGGCTTGTATTTTTTAGCTATGTTTTGTAGTTAGGGTTATTAGATGCATTTATTAATTATTTATATATTTCATGCTTCCATAATGGAAATGGGAAAATATTTAAATAAATCGAGTTCTGTAAATTAAAATCACAACCGTTAAAAACGTTACAACAAAGTTAAAAAAAAAATCGTGTATTTTGTCACTGAAATTTCGTGTTGGACAGCAAAAGTAATATTATTGGCTTATAAAAATAAAGATTATCTCCGATGCAATATCAAGTTTAAACGAGCAACATTTTATGTTGTACTACCCCATCCCCATTAGCAAAAGCAAATAAAAAAATAAATTAATTAAAAAGAAATAGCCTTCAGTCAGTACTATTAACTCTAAATAGAGAACCAATGCCTTAATTATTTAGAATCCAAATTAAGAACATAAGCTAAACAAAAGTCCTCTATCAGATATATCATTAATTACAAGGTTTCTTATTATAGTATTATGTAGTAAATCGATGGTATAGAAAGATGACTACAACGAAAGCTTTCCAAAGTAAGGATTTGTGATAGTTGAATTCAATGCCAAACCAGCAGAGTTTAAGACTTTCATTTCTACCTTGTTCCGTGGCATGTACAAGAATCCATTACCTTCCAGTTTTTGGAATCCACAGAGCTCAAGAAACGCAGCGCCTTCTTTGAATTTACCAACTCGGTCCTGTTTGTACGATTTGAGAAGGCAAAATGGTATAGAAATTCACTATTTAATACAGATTTCAATTAAGAAAACCAAAATTTGCCTGCCTTGATATTACCTGAAATAACAGGTTGCTAAGTCTGATCTTCCTATATTTCTCATTGTCTGGATTTTTTACAACGTTTGCTATGTATATAAGGAGTGTTTGGAATGCTTTCTTCACTTTAGCATCATCATCCTAAAATAATTTGATATTTGAGATAAATAAAGTTGCATTTTTTTAGTTAAGGGATATGTGGTTCCAGAAAATCATAAATTTATTTGCATTTTTAACCTTCTAAATGTGGTGGGAAGGAGCAGTACATGGATATAGCAGGAGAACACAGGATGATGAATGCTCATTACTTTAGTATGGAGTAGAGTGCCAAACTAATCCCTTGATTACTTACATGGGCTATTTTAGTCTCATGCTCCTTTAATGGGGGCTAAAATAGTCCTACAAGAGTTTGTGAAATTAACACTTTTATAAATTCTGGGACTAAAATGACATTTGTAAAGAGTCAAAAGACCATTTTGACGCTTTTCTCTTTTAATACGAGAAACTAACTAGACCTAAGTCATATTGATACTTGACAATCGGAACTATGACACTACAATAAAAAATTATAAAGAGAAAATAGACATGGAAAAGTTCTACCTTGTGGTTCTTCTTTAGTGATCTTAAGCAATCCTTCAGAGGTTCATCCATGTAAAAAATGACAGGTTTTGAACCCTGGAAGCACACAATTATGAACAACATACAATTCACTCCATGCTCTGCAAAGAGGGAATTCAAATATAGAGAAAAATTTAACTAAATTACATTAATTACATTCCCTTCTTGTATGGGATGTCTTGTGGGTATCACATTTCTAGGATTTTCAGCTGGCAATCCAAGCTTCCTCCTCCTTTCCACCTACAGTTAAATAGGTGGTAGAAGAAATAGTTAAGCACCTAAAACTGGCACAGGTCTAATAAATGAAATTGGCAAGTTCAACACATTTCTTCATGCCTTATTTCATCTTTAAACAAAATCATTAAAGATTATAATTATCTCCACGCCATAAGATGTTTAAATGGATGAATTCAGCAGAAACCTTATCCAGTTCCAGTTGCTGGCGAATCTTCTGTCTGGCTCTCTTTTCCTCTTCCTTCTCTGCTTTTCGAAAGGCAATTATTCTGTGTAAGTCAATTTCATTGTTATTAATGTAAACATTGAAGATATTTCTCGTACCAGGAATAGCAGCTTGCAACAAATCATAAAGAGTTGTGTAGAAAACTATGAAAATAATAAGATGGTGACTAACCGTTCTCTTTCATTTCTCTCTTTGTTGTGCTGATCTTCCATCAGCCTTTTGCCCCTCATTATTCTCTCCTAGAGAATAAGAGGGAAAAATTTTAGAATTCTGATACTGATAGACTTCTCCCAATGTCCAACTAAACATGGGTAAAATTTAGTAGGCATTGAAAGATAACAATATGGAAAGAACTTGGTGGAGCAAAATCCCTATCACTGTTATTAACGCTATCTAAATTTTCTAGGATTGGCATTGTGAAGATTCATTCTCCGCCTATTGAGGTTTGCATGATGAGTTAAAACAGATATTTTTGCAGGAATTCTAGTCAACTATTTAGTGTACATTATTTATCTACATAATCCTTCCACATTAATTTCTAAAAAAAATGATAATTATTTTTAAAAATAAATTATCACATCCTTTGAATAAGAGTAAAATCCTTTTTATTTTTAAATATTTTATATGACTTACTATAAAAATAATATTAACTTGTTTAAGAAAATATTACTATCATTGATATTATTAATAAAAAAATTATCTTTATTAATATTCATAAACTAATCTCATTTTTAAAATGGCATTTTAATTTTAAGACAGAATATATATTTTATAACTAGAACTGATGTATAATTGGCAAAAAAAAATTAGAAAAGAATATTATCTGAAATTTACTTTGCAAAATAGATTAAAAAAATATTTTATTTTATATATTAAATTGATTAATCCATTGGTAACCGTCTTTAATAAATTGATTAATCCATTTGATAATTGAATACATGAAATTATATACATACCACCAAATTTCTATGTATTTACATATCTAACGCCTAAACTTCATTTTTTATTACTTATAATATCTAAATCCTTAATATCACATCAAAAATATCACTATTTTAACTATTCAAAAAGTAAAATACACCTTATTAGACATAGGTAAAATTGAACTTTAGTTATTAGATATGTGTATACATAGGAATTGAATGGGGTGTATATATATATATATATATATATATATATATAATCTTATAAGTTTCGTGCAACACTCAACATCTGATCCATCAAGGGGAGTGTATATTATCCATAGGCCTACATCTTAAAAGAGGAAAAGTTTAGTTTCTGTTTAAAATGACAAAGTGCAGCTAAGGGAGTTTAGTGGTTCAAACAGAATGAGTTTTGTGAGCTTAAAAGATGAAGCCTTTAATTCTGTGGGTCCACCTGGGCCGTATAAGTTGGGCTAGTGGGATGTAAGCTTTTATTTTTATGGGCCAAATTTAAGATATTATTTAAAACATATTAGCAGATGGGATTATGAGGCTTTTTGGCTTGGGCCAGTGAGGACATGGCCCCCAGTGCCTCCATTGTAGCTCTGGCTATGATACAAAGATACCTTTTTTTTATATGTCTATATATTGCCCATTAATTATATTAACGCAAAAATCACTTCTAAAATAGATCTCTCTAGATAAATCCAAATTAAATTTTATGTGCCAACAAAACTATTTAGAGTATTTGATCTATAATATTGGTAGCAAGATGCATATTCTACCATCATTGGGCATTTTGTTAATTTAAAATTTCATTAAGCATGTTTGTTAACTAAATTACTTAAATATCACCCAACATTCACCAAGTTTCGATGGATACCTCATTCACAACAAAAGATTTTTTATATTCTTTAAAGAGAAAAACCCCCAAATAGTACCCAATTTATTTTCAGAGATTTAAAATGCTTCAATTTAGTCCCAGAGTATTAAAAGTTATTTCAAATTGATCCTAAATCATATTTTCCGTAAAAGTTAATGATGGTCTGCATACATTTCAAATATATATATATTGAATAGAAAAATAAACATAAAAAATAATAATAATTTAATAATTAATTAATTAATGAAAAGTTAATAATTTACTTAAAATAATAAATTAATTAATATTTTATATCATATTTATGCTAAGTTTTAATTTTGGAAGAGTCGACGTCGAAGCTAGATCTTATTGAATTAAATGTCATCAAGGCGAGTACTTTTATCAAGGCGAGTACTTTTAACGGTAATAATATTTTATTTCTTCTAAATCACTCGCACTAGAATGTCATTAGTCAATATATTTTGTTATTGCAATTAGAGTAAGATTATTTTGTCTTATTATTCAATTCAATCATCTAAAAATAAATGTGAATGATTTGCATAGTTATATTTATTTACTATCCATGCATGAACTATATTATATGATATTTAGAATGCAAATGAAATAATTTATAGTATGTTTGTATGTGCATGTTTGATTATGATGGAGCATTCCTTGATGATACTAGCGGGTAAACACTAATGTGCTTGTGCAAGTAAATGAAAAAATATATTGATATTCAAATATCTTAAATGATATAATTTTTAGACGATGTCTCATGTAACGGTTGTACAAAAAAGAAATAATATTAATATAATATTGATATATACACCTTTGAATAACATGTTAAATGTTTATATCGATTTATAAAGAAGCTTAACTGACATGAATATTATTTTTTTTTGTATTATTGTAGTATAGAAGTATGAGTATTCGCTAATTTTGTTTAACTCACTATTATTTTAACTAATTTTTTAAGTTTAATTAAATTATTAAAAGATGAACAATAGACAAGAAAACATTTATAGAAGGCACAAACAACCATTAACGAGAAAAATTTTAATTTTATCGCTTGAATTTAATTTCTACTACCTCTTTTATCTGTTAAATAGATCGTTCGTACCCGCCTAAGTTAATTCTAATCCCCAAGTCGGATCGTAACAAAAGTGGTATCAAAGCCCACAAAGTTTAAGATTAATTAATTGGATCTTGATGAAAGAACCAATAGAAAAATTATAAGAAAGTTTTAATAATTTTAAAAAAATTAAAGTTAACTTAAAGTAATAATTATTATACGCTCATGCATAGTGATACATTCAAAATTATAGAAGAAGAAAATTCAATAGAAAACGAAGAAGTACAACCTACTATTAATGTGAACACGAATATCCTCACCCAAATGATGACAGCGATGACACAGTTAATTCAAGAGTCCAGATCGCAGCTTATCGGAAAGGATACTATCGTTGTGGATAAATACTTACAGATATTTCAAAATCTATGTTCACCTTTGTTCAAAGGAACCGAAGACCAATTGAAGCAGAAAACTAGGTAATGAGAATAGAAAAGATACTAGATAGAATGACTTGTTCGGATGAAAGAAAAGTATTGTTGGCGACGTTTGTGTTGGATGGAGAAGCTGAAAGGTGATGGCATGGGCAGCGTCAGGATAAGTTAGGGGACATATCCGACATGATGGTTAGTTGGGACGAATTCGTGGAGCTATTCAGAGAATGATTTGTACCTCTATCCGCTCGAAGACAGATGCAGAACAAGTTCATCAAGTTGAGGCAAGGAGAGAAGACAGTCATGTAGTACGAAGAAGAATTCACTGCCCTATCGACGTATGTGCCACAGTTGATCACTACTGTAGAAGAAAAGTGCTAAAGATTCCTTTCGAGATTAAAAGATTTTATTAGTATTGACCTCACTTTTGGTTGAGGTTTGGTCTTTCCTCTTTAGTAGTCTAAAGTCCAGTCATAGGACTTTCTTGCTGATTATTCCTAGAAAACTAGAAAAAGACCATCACCATAAGAAATTCTAAACTCTTCTTTGTCCAACTTGAAGTTCCATATATTGGTCATAACCTCTAGCACTTAGTAGGTGGGGCCACTATAGGAGAGCTCAAGGAGAGTCCCCATAAGACTGTTTGACCTTAGAGCTGACCCTAGGTGTTGGTCTGGGGCTAGTTCACTCACTTTCACTCACAATCCTGAACCCAATTTGTTGACTTTCATCCCTTGATACTTTGGGACACTTATGTAGATGGGCCCCTAGACCCACTAGCCTTAGGCTAAGGTTTAGCTAGCACCAGTACATAGAGGAACCAAATGGAGATTCCATTGGTCCATAACTCAAAAAGGGTGGTTGGCACCTCAATTTCACCAAAATACCCAACTCAGTCTTTTGTTACTAATTACCCAAATTCACCCCCAATGTCCATCAATTTGATCTCAATTTCCCTCAATTTCAATTCTAAACTCAAATTCATCTTTCATATGATCAATTTAAACTAAATCTCAACCCGATTGACCCATATTTTGAGCCCAATCTCAAATTAAATCAAAAACTCCCAATTTTGGCCCAATTTAGACATGTCTCAAATGTCACCAAATCGAATGCCCAAAACCCAAAATTGACACCCAATTTATGTTGAGAACTTTTTATGACATTCCCCTAAACCGTTTTGGGCCGTCAATTTGGACCTAACCCAACCTTAGCCTAACCCAAACCCAAGTCTAACCCAACACCCCAAAATTCACTAAGTGACCAAAATCCATCAAATTGAACTCCCAATCAACTCAAAATCACTGCAAATCTTTTCTAAACCTCTCATGACAACCATCTATACTATCTTGATCGATCAATTGAGCTCGAAATCAAAATTTTGACGGAAATCAAATTTGACGCGTTTTTGACCAGATCGTCTACGAGGTTGCCCGAACGACCCCATATGTCGAAACGGACGCATTCGAAACTTCGACTTTACTTAAGGAGGACACTAATTTTGATGAGGTTCCGTGCACACACGAATTGGGGATTTTGGATAATAAATATTATAAAAAAGAATCTTTTTTTTTTACTCAAATCACTAAATCCCTAATTCGCTCAGTTCGCCTCCTCCCCCATTTCGTTCGCACGCCTGACAAATCCTTCTCCTTCCTGCTCGCGCACAGCCGAGCCCCATACACAATCCTTATCGCGATTCTTATCTTTTGCCGTCCTCGAGCCACCCACATGGAAGATCTCCCTTTCCTCTTACCTAAAAAAAACCCCTTCTGGGGAGGTTTAGGGGGTGCTAAAACTTTTGGAGAAGGTGGAGGGGCTGTCGGATTCTTTGTTTGCTTGTGCTACTTGTTTGCTCGACACTTTGGCAGGGTTTCTTTGCCTTCCTTGCTGGTTCACTCGATACTTTTACTTGTTGCTTGTTTGGCTATTGAGATATTAGCTTCTTGCTTCATTGCTCGAGGCTCTTGCTTTGTTACTTGTATGGGAGTTCCACTGTGAAATTTAGTTTGATCTTTTGTTTTACAATCTCTTATTTTCTTCATGTCCATTTACACCTCTCAAGCCAAGATCTCTAAGCCAATCTTGCTCAAATGATTTCTTGCCTGACGATGTGAGTAATCTCTCTAATCTGCATCACTTGGAGCCAATCTTGCTCAAATGATTTCTTGCCTGACAATGTGAGTAATCTCTCTAATCTGCATCACTTGGAATTGCCTTGGATGCATTTTTTTCTATTGCACCTGGAATTGAGAAATTAAGGTCACTTCAAGAACTAAATGAGCCTAATGGTAAGAGTGATAATGTTTACAGGATTTGGTGAGTTGGAACATATGAGCGAGTTGCGCAAATTAAAATACATTTTCTGGAAAATGTGAGGGATGCTTGGGAGGCTCGCACAGCAAAATTGCTTGAGAGGAGAAAACTCACATGTTTATTCTTGAATTGGGGACATTTGTTGGTTTGGGGTGTGCTCCTCTCGCTGCCCTACTCGAGACACATCCCGGCGATTTCTTTTGTCAGATTTGGATTTGTTTCTTATTGCTTCTATTCGGTATACCTGCTGAATTTGAGATTGATGTTTTGTTTACTGCAACAGTGGTGATATGTAAATCCAATTCATGGCTTATGGAATCTGTAAAAATTCAAAGCAAATTGTTCTTGTGAATACATTTCATGCTTATGGACATGGTGATTATTTACATACATAGCACCTAAACTTTGATTTTCACGACTTTTGCAATATATATTTACATATTTAACACCCAAACTTCATTTTTACACGCATGTCATTCGAGTCCATTTGGATATCTCTTTATATAAATTGTTGCTGGAGCACTTTGGGAGATAATTTTGACTAATGACGTTAGTATTTATTGGAAGAAATTAAGAACTTTAAATTTCTTTTGGGTTCTTAATCCATGGGGATTTGGAAGTGTGAACTTAAAGATTGGAGCAGGGAGGTTATAAGATTATTTGGAAATTTATTCTCTTTAAATTTCATGATACGAAACACACGGAATTGTTGGAAATTGGAGGTGCCGCATTGGGTTTTGGAAAATATTCACATGTGATACTTGTGTGAGAATTCTGAAACTTCGAGGAGTTTACTTTTTGAGTTGCGATTTTGGAAAGACTTAATTGTGTATTTTTGCAATATTTGGGGATTCAAACGGATTTTCTCAAACTTGTATCGTCAGATATCGGGGATTGTTTTGAACACAGTTTTGAAGCTATTTTGGTGGCTTTGCTGGGCTGCAATTTTGAGATCATTTTGTGGTGTGTTTGGCTACATTTTCTTTTAAGCTGACTTGTGGGTTTAAAGTAATACAGTTTTGGAAAGGATACCTTTTTGTTTGATCTATTCACAGAATTGGAGAAAATGATACCCTTATCGGGTTGATTCATGAATTGCTGGGTTTCATTTTTTGGGTCTTTTCGTCGATCTTTTTTAGACACGGTTTTGAGGGCCGATCCACCCTTCACCTTTTTGCTCTTTCGGGTGAATTATTCCCTCCTCTCTCTCACCTCATTTTTTTTTCTTTTGTTCATTACTTCTTGGTTGTATTTATGTGTTTATGTCTGATACATAAGTGCGCATATATAGTCTTTTGCTATATATGAATCGTCAAGCAAAGTAGCAAGTAGAACGGTTTTATTTTTGGGCTTAGGGCGGTGATGACAAAAGCACACCGGTGATAGAGCAAAATGATATTACATCCACCGACATCAGGACCCAATCTAGGGACTCGAAGAATCGTAGGATGATAATATCATTCACCGACACAAGACTAGCGGAGGGCCCGTACCTTCTTAGGTTGTTGGCGGTCCTACGCCCTACGCCTGACGGTGTGATTGACTTGTGGATAATCATAATTTTCAAAACTGATAAGAACCGACACGACAATGTTAGATACAATATTTATAAAAGTATTTTTACTACAAAATTAATACAACTTTCTTTGTATGCCTGAAATCCACGTGCATGTTAAAATATAAATTTTAAATGTATTATAACTTGGTTGTCCACTTGTCGATTACCAGTACCGGGCTAAGGAACATCATCCTAAGTTAAATTTAGTAGAACACCCTTCTAGTCGAGTGACGGACTCTATACATTCGGGTGACCGATAGTAGCCTTCAACGTCCCTCGAGTATAAATATATAGTATCTGAGCCTAGCCCTGACCCGAGCGCTTGTGGTTTTCACTCTTCGGGTTTTTTTTGTGTGATTTTATTGGAGCTTTTGGTAAAACAATCGTGGTCTTTTTCCGGGATCTTCTCACATTTTTTATGACTTTCTTTGAGTTGTCATTCACTATTTTTCTCAAGTTTTCCGTCGTGGTTCATTTGCCGCCTTGTCTCGAGTTTTCCAGGTGGTGTTTCTTTTGCTGCTCACTTTTACTTATACAATGCATGCTAGCTTGTTTCTTAAATTCTATCACTATACTTATACCTGCTACATCAGCCACACTTAAGGAGCAGCGGGACTCCTAGGTATACGGGTTTGTTTTACATTTACAGTGTTTTACTTTACAACACACTTTACTGTTTTTTTCTTCATTGTACATTCTACTGCTTTCCTATACTGCATGCTACACTGCTCCTAAACATACTGTGTTGTCACTGTTTTCCTTTGCTATACCTGCTACTGTTTCTTTTACACACTATACCTTAGAATAAGAGACAAATAGTTGGTTTTATAGGAGGTACCCGACAACGGATCGTTGAATCAACAGTTGTATATATACTTAAAATTAACATCGAACTCGAATGTGCTACGACAAGGAGCTTGGAGCTAACATTGTGGGTAGCACGACTATCTTCAATAGCAGAACATGTCTACATCAGCTAAATCATTCCTTAGAAATTAAACAACAATTCATATGACTTCGAGGTTGTTTGCTTATGCAACATAAATCCTCAACTCATCTTTAGGCATTTGTATGGTTCTGCTATACAATATAAGCCCTAACTCATCTTAGGAATTTGAGGTTGTCATTTGTCATCACTTAAATTCTCATATCTTTTAGGTTGTTTGTGTGAGCGTTTCACATAAATGTAAGCCCTAAATAAATAAAAATTAGCAGGATGAAACATTTAAATAATTTCTTTTCTCTAAACTAAAGCCAAAATCATAGGGTAGCTTGGGAAATCACTGAGGTTCTCCTCCAGATCTATGACATCCCTTAGTCTCTCTTTATTTGAATTCCATAATATGTTCCAAATTTGAGTCGTTCCTTTTTCACACCTCTTTGTTCGATCTCGTCGAAAAGACCTATTCTCTTGACCTTCTTGAAGATAATATCCCATGATTTTTATTGAGAGTTTTCTCTAAACTAAAGCCAAAATCATAGGGTAGCTTGGGAAATCACTGAGGTTCTCCTCCAGATCTATGACATCCCTTAGTCTCTCTTTATTTGAATTCCATAATATGTTCCAAATTTGAGTCGTTCCTTTTTCACACCTCTTTGTTCGATCTCGTCGAAAAGACCTATTCTCTTGACCTTCTTGAAGATAATATCCCATAATTTTTATTGAGAGTTTTCTTAGGTGACTTCGATTATCTAAGATGTAATTAACTATAAGGGCTTGCCTTTATAGGAAATTTTTCCGAACCAAGCTTAATATAAACCCTATTTAACTTTTTTCATATTAAATAGGGGAACTTGTCGGCTTATAAATAAAATGGTTTTCGCAGACCAAACAAATGTCATATGTTTCTTAGTTTATTGTTTCTTATTTGATCGAGCGTCACACTCAAGTCTTGTGTTTATCTTTCGGGATAAATACGTGGCTTGAGGTGTAGTGCTCTTTCATTTAAACTATGAAAGATATGGAATCAGTCTGATTTCATATTTTTCTAAACTTATATGTATGTAAATTAAATGTCTTTTCGGCGACGAGATTTCGATTCCGGCGACTGACAGCTTCCAACGGGCAACTCCCCGACTTTTTAGTGCCGACAATTAGACAGTCGTTGGTACCTTTATGGATCGATGAATATTCGGTATTAGTAGAACAAGTTAGAAGAGTTAAGGTAAACTATAAGCTTACTCATAAGCGTAAAGAGATGCACAGGGCTGCAGCAGAACATGTAGAACACTCAAAGGGATCCAATGAGAAGAGGTTCAAGAATAATTCGAGTGGAGTTAGCAGAGGTACGACTCAGGGTACTGGAGTCACTTGTACCAAATGTGGAAGACAACATAAAGGTGAATGCTTGATGGGCTCTAACACTTGCTATTGGTGTCATCTGTCTGGTTATATAGCAAAATATTGTTTATCTCTTAGCCAGAAGAACGTTGAAAATCAAAAATCAAGTGGAACTCCATCACAGAGGTTGGCAGGCAGGCAAAAAAAGATATCAATAGCCTCAACTCCTACCCAAGATCAACCAAGACAGTCGGTTCGACCTCGAATATTTCTTTACTCATATTGAGCATGAAGAACCTATTGCTGCTGAAGATGATTAGGTCTGTTGAGTTTGGTATTTTTTCCTAGCATACTTCCTTGTTTTAGTAGTTGTGTATTGTTATTCAAAGTATAGTTGAGTTGTCTTGTATCAATTCTTTTATCTTTATGATGATTACTATTCATGAATGACTCTAATTTTATTGATAGATAATGTTTACTTGCTTGAAGTCTATTTATAAGTTTCGATAACAAAATTTTTGCAAGTGGGAAACATTATAACGGTTATGTAGGGGGAGAAAAGGGGAAAAAGAAGGAACAAAGAAGAAGAAACGAACAGAGATGGAAGAGAAAATGATGAATTGAGGAAGGGAGGGGAAGCAAACAACTGAAGGAGTGGAAGCTAGGGGATCGGAAACTAAAGAGACAAGCACATTTATAAAATTAAGCGTTCAAAGTGTTTTACTCACTCTAGAATCGAGGGAAGTGATGTCGAGCAGAGGAAAGACAGGAGATCTTGCGTGTAGACTCGAGTCCAGCCGAGTCCACTAGGAAGACAAAGGAAAAGCCTCGATTGTGCCCTAGCTGAGCGTCGAAGAAGAAGAGTGCTGTGCGGGAGATAGATTCATCACGCACAGTGATTCGATCTTGTGATCGAGCCGAAGAAGAAGAAAGGGAAGGAGCGGAGCGTGCAGGTCGAGCCGGTACGAGGGTTTGGAAGAGGTAAGCGTAATAATAATAAAAATAATATTAAGATATTTATATATATAAATATATTTATTGAATAAAAAATTAAACATAATAAAAAAACGAAAATGTAATAGTTAATTAGTAATGAAAAGTTAATAGTTTACTTAAAATAATAAATAAATTAAATTTTTATATCATGTTTATGCTTGATTTTAATTTTAGAAGAGTCGGCGTCTGGGTTAAAACTTGTCGAATCAAACATCATTGAAATGAGTATTTTTACTTTTAAATTATGGTAATAATGTTGCAATTTTTCTAAATTATTCGCATTAGAATGACATTAGTCAAAATATCTCATTACTGTAATTAGAATAAGATTATTCTACTTTATTATTCAATTTGATCGTCTAGAAAAAAATGTGAATGATTTGCATACTTATATTTATTTACTACACATGCATGTTATAAGACAAAGATATTGGATGATATTTAGAATGTAAATGAAATGATTTATAGTATGATTGGATGTGCGTTTTTTACTACGATGGAACACCACTTGATGGTACTAGTGAGAGAACAATAATGCACCTGTGCACGTAAATGAAAAAAAAAGATATTGATATTGAAGTGTCTTAAATGGTATAATTTTTAGATGACGCCTCTAGCGAAGATTGTATAGATATAAAATAATATTGATATGATATTAATATATACCTCTTTGAATAACATGTTAAATGTTTATATCGATTTATAAAGAAACGCATCTGACATATATATTATTTTTTTCTTGTATTATTGTAGTATAAAAATATGAGTATTTACTAACTTTGTTTAGGTTACTGTTATTTTAACTAATTTTTTAGGTTTAATTAAATTATTAAAAAATAACAATAGACAAGATAATATTTATAAAAGACGCAGATAACCATCAATGAGGTAAATTTTAATTGTACAACTTTAATTTAATTTTTTGGTGGCTTTTTCATTTGTTACATAATAAAAGAATATATATAATTTATTTCACACCCTCCAAACGTATAAACCTGCATTGGTTAATTTCAAGTCTTGGGTCAGGTCGTGACAAAATTTATGCATTCTAAAACTGCAGTACTAAATTGGACACTTCTTAATATTCGAGAGACTATTTTAAGTTTTTACTCATTCTTTAAAGTTGCAGTACTAAATTATCTTTTTCAGTGCCACACATAAACATTTGAATTACTTGATATCATAGAAAATAATTATGTCCGGTTAATGTGTGCCCTATAATGAGATTAATAGATCTACATGATACCCCATCATTGTTTGAGGTTGAGAGTGTACCAAAATTCATAATTCGAACAACATGAAATTTTAGGGAGAAGAATCTACATATTTATATTAGTTAATAATTAAGAATGCATGAAATCTATAGGAAATGACAAACATAATTAATCAACTATGGAGGGAAAATATAAATAAATAAAGAAACTATATAATGGAGAATAAATTGGGTAACTAGATATCCAAAAAATCTCTATAAACATAAATAGCAAAGGAAGCTATAAATTATAGTTATTTTACTCTAAAAATAGGACTGATTATTAAAATTGTACATATTAAGTCCCATCTCCTCGCAAGTCTTTCACACTCCATTGTAAAATTTTAATGACCAAAACTTGAAGTGAAAAAAAATAAGTCACAGGATATATATATAAAGGAGCAGAAAATCGTCGGGAATGTAAAAAACATTAACATTTTTCTACTTTTAAGTTTAGCTATTCAAAGTTTGTAAGGGATGTTGAAAGATGTGCAAGGAGATTGAACTACTTAAATGCCCTTTCATACAATGTTTCAATCGGAACGTTGGAAAAGCAAATGCCACAATCCTCTAGCGCACATGCTAATTATATTTAGCAATCATAGAAAAAATCAACTTATGCCGGCCTTTGTGGGTTTGCAACATACATTAGTTAGTAAATTATTTTTGGAGATATAATATGCATCAAATACTATTCTTTCTCACCTTATGTTGGTCTCTTTCCATCCCTTTTTCCCCTTCTTCTCTCTTTTTCTGTGCTTGTTCCCTTTAAGCAAAAATAAAATCTTTTAAAAAGTGAGAAATTGTTTTATTGAGATTTTTTATATGAAATGACTACAAAAAAAAATCTTCTAAACAGGAAGTTAGAATCCAGCTTGTCTTCATTACTGATGGATACCTTTTAAAAATCAATGAATGAAAAAAATAATGCTTTTTCCCCTTCTCTCTTTTTCTGTGCTTGTTCCCTTTAAGCAAAAATAAAATCTTTTAAAAATTGAGAAATTGTCTTCATTACTGATGATACCTTTTAAAAATCAATGAATGAAAAAAATAATAATTTGACGGACATGGCAAAAAGCTCCTTGAGTGATTCGATCGAACTATCACAGAATTCAAGTCAATTAGATATTACATAAATCATTAGGAAGCTTATGGAATGCATAATATCAATTGAAAATTTGTTGGGAACCAAAGTAACTTAGTCAGATTGTTGTTAATCGTGATTGGATGATCTCTGAGTCTTAATGGCAAAAATGTTCTGCAAAAATATGAAAGAACTCTTTTCTAGTTGGAAGACTTTTAATTGCAGTCGAGATGTTTCAGCTAAATTTGTACATTTTCACTCGCCTAGTTAGTCATTTTAGCCAGGTTCACTTGAATTAGTAGCATAAATATTTTTTGAAAATTTGGATGCTTTGAAGGTATTGGCACAGTCCGTTTTGTAAAACAAGTAACATTCAAGTATTTTTTATTCAGATTAGGATTTTGGAAAAGTTTTGTGCAATATTCTATATGTTCTCCACTGTCCCCATCGTGTATACCTGAGTTGGGGGAAAAGATGCAATAATAGGAGAAATACGTGCATTAGCTTTGTTGGTTGGAGATGATGGCATTGCATTAGTTTTGTTGGTTGTAGAAGTTATCATGGCGATGATCCAAAAAGCAATGGAACAATGATAAAAGAGATACAATTGCTGAGATATCATGTTTAAAGACAATAAATTTATATACAAGTATATCTTTTTATTCACACGAAAGAACATACAAGAAAAATATAATAAAAAAATGCACTCAATAATGAAACAACATCGTAATCACATATAACTCAAATTCCTTCTATAAATAAGTTAACATATCGCATAATGTAAGTATGATAACAACCACTGTTCTGATTTTTATCTAATAGAAACAAAGCAGATATGTTAAATTCGTCTCCAGAAAGATTATAAGCTTCAACTTATACTAATAAAATCTAACTTAAGAATAATAGGAAACTTAAAACGAACCTTAGATCATTTAATTTCATCTTCACTTCTTCCCCTACATGCCATGGTTCTCCAGATTCAATTCTTATGTCGATAGGTACCTGGAAATGCTCAACCAAATTTGATACTGAATAAAATTTAGGCAATATCCAAAAATCTAAACAAAATAATTTCAATTTATTAAATGCTCCTATAATTTTTCCAGGGGTGTAAGCGCCATCCCAAGCAATAAATAATTTCCATCTTAATTTTTAAAGCATACTATATTAATAGGTAAATCATTACTGATTGATTCAAAAGAAGGATTCTTGTAGCACTAAAATTAAGCCTTACAGAAAATCAAACCTGCATTAATGTCATTCTTAGGAGTATGAGTGCAATAAACCAAGGATCAGAATCATACCTGAGGCATCTGATAGATGTTTGAGTCACTTTCATGTTCTAAAGCCCAATCGATGGCATCTTCAATGCTAGAATTACCTAACGCATAAAGAGAAATTCTCCATTTAATAAGAGTAATAGAGATTATTTAATCAAGCACCCATCAAAACAAAAATGGAGTTGGTTTGACACTTGTAAATAATATTGCCATACTATGTCGATATCTAATTAGGATGAGATCGAGAAAGCCAAAATAATGGCAAGCATTTATGAAATAACAGGAAAAACATATTTTACGTTTTACCAGAAAAATAAAGTGCTCTTGTTGCACGGCTGGTTGGGAATCCCATGGACTCGAGTTCTCGAAGCATTCTTTTGTCAACTCTTAAGGCAGCCATTGCTTTTGCAATTTGTAAAGAAGGTTCAGAAAAGGGAAAAAATAATTAGAAAGAATATATTGTGTTCCGCTAATGCAGGGCAGGATATTCTCATGCAAAATATCCACTCTCAAACACATTTCTAATAAAACACCAACCTTTCATAGAAAAATGCTAACTTTATAATCAAAGTGAAGAATTAATACTCTAGTGATGTTGATAACTTGATATCAGTTTAAGATAGCATACAACTGAATTTGTTCCAGACTCACAACAAACAACAAAATTAAGATATCTAATATCACATTTTTTTAAAAAGAACTTCAAAATTGTTTCTTATAGAGATTATAGATATCATCAAAATTTGATAACGAATAATCAAGGAAGAATGCCTCTCATCATCATCTTAATCCAGTGTTATAACAACTATTTGGGGTTTTCTGTATGAATTTCCGTTCCATCCTTTTTCCACTTACTGTTGCATTTAAGACTGTTTATCGTAAATCCTTAGATATTAATCTTATATATGCATCTAGAGAAAAGTAGTATATCATGCACTTGATAAATAATCTAAAAACAACATTTTTTGTATAATATGAAATTAATAATGACTAATAGAAACAGAAGCATAGGCAGGTGGAAAAGGAGGAGAGCAAGCCCACCTCCCTCTCTCCCTCAGGCTCCACTCCAACCAATTACTATTTACTGAAAAATAGTAGTTAATGGCTCTCTTTTGTTATGCATGTAAGCCTTATAAAACCAGAAGTTACAATCAAGAGTTCAAAGAAGCAACCAGGGTTCATATTATGCAAATTTCTTGGAGAAAAAACATGTTATGCTAGGATTCTCCAAAATAAATCCAATGCAGAAAATGTGGGGGAAATTAAAATTTCAAATAGTCAGGAGGACTCCACAAACTTTAATAAACGAAGTTTTTAATGTCCTAATTGTACACCAACACTTGCCTGAGTTTATTAAATCATCCAAAAAAAGTGTTGAACCAAATCGTCCAAGAAATTTTGTAAATGGTTCACCAATTTATTATAATCCAAAATAAAATTTACACATCCAAAAGTCATTCAAAGCTAATAACCAACATGCCGCCAAAAGCAAATATCAGACCATTCGATAATCAAATATCATGTATCAGAAAAGAATATTAAATCTAGACTTAGTAGATTGATATTTCAAAAAAAAAAAAAAAAGATTTAGAATTTTGTGGCAAAAAGGGCATAAAAAATCAAATAGCTCATCATTTATCTAGGTTAGATTTGGAAAAAATAGGTTAATAATGAAAAAGAAATTAATGAATTTCTCTCCGACGAAAAGGTATGTATTGTGGGTCTGCATTGTGTGGCATGGTATTTGATATGGTGAAACTTCCTTGTTAGTGTTGTTGTACCGTATGACTTATCTTTTTCTCAGGGAAAAAAAAAATCATGCATGATGCTAAATTCAATTCATAGTAGAAGTTCCAGTTCATATCAAACTGACATAGTTCAAAGCATGTAAAGCCAAATGAATAATAAAATTTCAGAGATATGATGATCCAAGGTGCTAAATCATTCCTAAAATGAAAAAAAAAAACAAATTTATAAAAATTTATGGAAAGATGAACTAATTTTAAGATGACAACGCCCACAATATGCCTTTAGATAAATCCTTGCCAAGAAATCCTACATTTTGGATTAGTTTTAGGATTTTATTTCAACTATGAATGTATATAAAATTTGAAGGCATTATATATAAATAAGACAAAATTTTAATTTGAATTCAAATAAGCTTTTATCTAGTAACCTTCAATAAACAGAGATTTAAGTGGATGTTATTGATTATGAATAAAATTTGAAAAAATTCCTCTTCACTATTCGCTCTCTCCAATTATGATTTCTTCCCATTGAATGAGTCATTCATCTCTCCTAGTTGTCGCACTACAGATTTATCGAGAAGGAACCCATGGTTTCTTGCTCTTTGCATTAGTCTGATATCTTTAGTTCAGAAATGAATTTCAAAACAGAGGAAGAATGAAGAAATCAAGGCATTGAAGATTATCAACAGTGGGACCATCCATCAAAAGCTTATAACATTGATTTTTCTTGCTGCATCATATACACATGCCACAGAAAATTACCTATTTGAGAACAATAATTTTTTGAAGGGTCAATTTATTCAAAAGAATATTTATTTGAAATGGTTCCAAATCTATAGCTATTTCAATATTTTTTAAAGAATGCAATACGTATGAATAGACCACAACGTACACACGCATGCATATATATGAAGATTTGCATGCCTAACACTCAATTCCAATGTATTTACATATCTAACACCTAAACTTCAATGTTTACATATATGCCACCTTATCCATGCATGAACATGTGTATTTCACTTTTTAAAAGTTAAAATTGTGGTATTATTTATGTGATATGAAATATATGGGTGGTATAAATGTAAAATGTAAAATATAGGTGTGAGATAATTAAATACATAGGAATTGGGTGCATTTATGTAAATGCCCCATATCTCTCTCACTCTCTCTCCCTCTCTGAGAGAGAAGGAGAGAAAGAGAGAGAGTGAGAGTGAGAGAGAAAGAGATGAACTAATCACAATTCTTCTATTAAATTTCATTTTTTGAATCTGCCATTTCATAAAGTCTTAAAACTCAAGATCACACTTGTAGAATGTGATTAACAATTTAAAGTATGGTTGGATCGAGTTTCATCATTTTATATGATAACTTGACCATTCTTTAAACTTGACCATTCTTTAAGCATGAGATAATTACATAGACAATTGGATGACACGAAGCATCCTCTAAAAGTTTAGTCCTATCAAAACTTTCCATGAATCAAACCCGTCCATTACATGTAACATTATCAACAACCTAATTTATTTCTAGCCATTTGAAAGCATCTATACTTTTTATTGAACTGGGAGAGAGTGATGGTGACCAATAAATCACAAAGGAGGTGACTTGAACCCATGCCTTTGGATAAATAACCTTCTCCTTCAACCACTAGGCCACAAATTCTTTTACAAAATCTCTATATTTGAAATCACAATTTTTTTTCTCTTGTAATCTAGTAATCCATTAGTTGGAGGATGTACCTTGGATGTTTTTCGTTAATTATATCCTTCTTGTGGATAAAACTAGAGAAAGAGTTAGGAAAAACTTGAATTATGGAGGCCAACTTTAGAGTTTAAAGACCTTCATTTGAGTAGACCTAAAACTGAATACATGCAATGTAAATTTAGTAGTAAAAGATCTAGTGGTGAAGTTATAATAATGGGTGATCAAATCAATAAAAGGAATGAACGTTTCAGATATCTCGAGTCTATTGTTCAAAGTGATGGTGATATATAAAGAAATGTTAAAGAAATGTTTCTAGTTGGGTGGTTAAAGTGGAGGAATGCACCTCGCTTATAGTGTGATAGAAAATACCACTTAAACTTTAAAGGAAAATATTATGAGATGGTGGTAAGACCTGCAATGCTTTATGATGCAGAATGTTGGCCTATAAAAAAGAAGCAAAAAACTAAGTTAAGTGTTGATGAGATGAGAATGCTTAGGTGGATGAGTGGCTTTACACTTGGAGAAAAAATGCAAAATGAATAAATCCGTGAAAGGGTTGGTGTGGCTAATGTAGCATACAAGATTAAAGAGAGTTTTCTTAGATGGTTTGGCCACATTGAACATCGATCCAGTTAGAAGAGCAGATGTTTTAGATTTGATTTATGTTAGAAAAGGTAGAGGTAGCCCGAAAAAGACTTGGGGATGTTGCATAAAAAATGGCCTTAATTTATTAGAATTAAATGAAAATATGACAC